TGATAAACTGAAACTATTTTAGCCCTTCACAGTTGAGCATATTAGGTGTAGATCTTCTGATTCTTAGTTTTACTAGATCTACTGGGAAAAAATAAAAAACACTAGTCAGGCCAGGGAGGCAGCCTCAAATGGATACAAAATAGAGCCAAAATATTATAATTTAAATACTATCTTATCATCTGACCCATTTGAATTCCTTTTCATATCTGCTTTTGGAAAAAGTGTTCTTGATGTCAAGTTGCTTTGTGAAAACAAGAGAAAATAATTGGTTTCATTTAGGAAAAAGTATTTGAAAGGAAGCATCATATACTTAGTCCATATAACTTACACAGACTAACAGAGGAGTAGATCATTCAATTCATTCTTTGCTTTCAGCTCTAACCCCTATAATTCAGGTACTCTGGCTAGAAAGGGGATTTAATAAATTTCCATTGTGCTCAAAGTGATGGAGATACTTCTAAATACTCTAGTTTCTTAAAATTGCAGTCTGGATGATCAGCATACTTTGTTTTGGGTTTTGTTCTTCAGCATCTGTTGGGTTGACTAAATTGTTTGTTGTTATGTATAAATACATTTAATTAATTTCAGTCTTAAACTTCTTACCTCCATAAGGCTGCCTGTTTCTTCGACATAATAATTTTCTCACATAGAAAGAGTCATTATAGTAAAATGGTTAAGAACACAGACTCTGGAGATAAACTGCTTTGGTTAATTCACTCCCCCACTTACTAGCTGTGTCTTTGGGCCTGCATGTAGTATTTCTGCACCTGTTTCTTCATATGTAAAATGGGAGTGATAATACCCATCACAGTTGTGATGATTAGTTGAGTTATATGTGGAAAGATCAGATTAGTGCCTGGTACATAGTAAGTGCCAGTGAATGTTGACTGTATTTTTGAATTCTAGCTGGAGAAGAATGGAAGATAAAGTGTTGCTATTTATTCAGTGTAAGTTAAGAATATTTCATTTTATTCATTATGACTTACAGCCACTATAGCAAGAGAGGTTTTCAATTCCAGAATATATGGAATGTAATGAGTTTTCTCAAATTTAGAAATAGCTAATAATTTCTGTTTTAAAGGAGGTCAAAGTAAATATGCTTATTTTTGCTGTTTAGACCAAGCTCTTACTATCTGCCCTATTTAGAATCTTTTTATATTTCTTTTTCTAATCCTTTTGAGTATCATTTTTTTCTTGTTTTTCAAGGGACATTAAGAATAAAATCCACTCTATAAAACATGTTATATTAACACTGGAGTTTTAAACCAACAAGTCCTGAACCTCTTAAAAATCTGACTTAACACCCTGAAAATTTCTCAAGATGCTTCCTACCGCATATTCCAATAATGGCTGTTAGCCTTAACTTGAGCAAAATCACAGTCTCGGGAATCATAATTCCAACTATTTAAATCAAATGAAATGTACTGAGATGCTAGCACAATGAAGTGGAAAACTGTAGGATGAATAAAAGCACTGCTCTGAAATCCACTAGAACCTAAATTCTATTCCCAGCTGTTCAAAGGGATTTGCCATATGAGATTAGCTCATCCTGTTAAATACATAGTATCTGTGCCCATTTACCTCAGCCTGTTGGTATTTATATTTCTCTCAATGGGATCTAATTGGTTACAATTAAATTAACTATTTTGAGCTCTCAATACTTACATTGCATCAAAATCTAGACCAAATTTTCCTGCTAAAGGCCTTTATCTTCTATTTCCTTGGTTGTTTCCCATTTCCAGCTTCTTACTTAGTTGGAATGTTAAATTTACAACTCCAAAGATGAATTGGCAAGTAGTTATTTTACATAGGACAAATTTGCTTATGATTGACCTTTAAAGGAATGTTTTGCCTGCAACTCCAAAGATGGCTGATTCCCTAGAATGAGAAATTGAAGGGAATAAAAGAATGTTAATACCTCCCAGCACCACTTTTTTTAAAAACTATTGTTTGATAAAATTAACACATTACACATTTGCTCCTAGGATTGTGGTATCATCCTACTGTGTGTATACTTGCACATCACTCAGTAAATATTTATTAAATACCTGTCATATGCCAAGCACTATTCTACTACACTAGCAGTGGGACGGTGAACATTCATTTTTTGAATACTAAGAGGTTTACCAGTTAGCACCTAAGAGTTAATTCAGCAGAATCACAGAATGCCATAGAACCTCAGAGAATACATAGTTCAACTCTCTTATTTATAAATTTTAAAAATCTATAATCCTGAGATAGAAAATAAGGTCATGTAACTAGTTAATAGCATGTCTTGCTTTTTCCTTTTCCTTCAGTTATTCATTCAGCAAACATTCTGAAATCTTTTCTGTTAAAAAGGTCAACAGAAAGTTTAAAAAAAATCCTCCATCAACTCCAAAAGACCTCTAGCAGCCATCCTATTTTTCTGACTCTTTAGAATCAAAATTACTTAAAAAGTTGCCTTTTTATCTTTCTTTCAATCCACTGAGTCTTGACTGCAGCCTTTTTAATTCCATTGAATATGTTCTTCCTAATAATGTCACTCACATTCCTATCATTTCATTATCCTTGGGACTCTTTCTAATCCTTATCTTTTCTGCCCATTTTCAAAGGTGTTCTTTCCTTACCTGGCTTCCCTTACCAGGATGCCATATTATTCTGGTTTTATTTCTACTTCCCAGACCATTTCTTAGATTTCTAAATATGCTCTTCTTTTTCACCCATCTATTAAATATTGGTGTTCCCCAGGGTACCCCAGTGAGCCTTTTCTACAGTCTCCTTGATTAGTTCATCTATTTCCATCACTTCTGTTGCCTTGTAAATCTGAGGACTCCCAAATCTTTATTCTTGCTCAAATTTTTTTCCTTTGGTTTTAACCTCATATATCCAACTGCCTAGTAGACATGTCCAGTAGGATATCTTTCAACTATCTTACATCATCTCTAAAATTGAACTGTTAACCTTAGTATTTGTTCCTATGTTAACTTACACCATTATTTATCTCATAGGTGATGACCTAGAAATTTAGCAGTAACCAGGAACAGCCCCTGTTCTGTCAGTTCTGTTTTCTTTTCAATCTTTTCACATCTTTACTGCCAGCATTTTATTTTCAGGCCCTCATTCTAGATTATTCCTAAGGCCTTTCTAATATGGAGGAAATACAGAATGAGTAAGAGCGTGAATTTTAGAATCAGATAACCCTAGATTGGCTCCTTACTCTCTCACGTAGAATCTGTGAGTTCTCTGAACATCAGTTTCCTCATCTGTAAAACAGGAGTCTTACTTACTTTCATAGAGTGATTGTGAGATTTAAGTTTATGTCCCTTAGAACATAGTACTTGATATGTAAAAAGCCCTCAATAGAAGATTGTGTTTACTTTTAACTACCTCCCTATTCCACATCATTCTCTGTACTGTTTAGAATACGATTCCTTAACTCAAAACTTTAGTACTCTCATGATAAAAATCCTTCTTCAGTATTCTTAATTGCCGTCAGAGTAATATCCAAGTGATTTAACATGACGTTTTAAATGTCTTCAGTTTAAATGGAAATGGATCCTGTTTTCCTCTTTAGTTCTTTCTTGCTACTCTCCTTCCTATTTGGCCCAGCTACAATAAATTAACTCTCTCAGAAGCACCTCCAGGCTTTTGAGCATTCTGTGCTCTCTGAAACATCTTTTCCTACAGCTAGATCATTTTTAGTTGTTCAGAACTCAGCCTATGTGTACCTTGTTTGGAAACCCTTCTATGACTACTTCTGACCCTGGGGTAGCCTTTCCAATACAGCACTCCTGACATTCTGTCATAGCTTCCTGTTCTCTTGTCTGTTTCCCCTAATGTATTATCAATCCTTGAAGTTAAAGAAGGTCAAGCAGTGTTGCAGTTTGGTTATTGGGTATTCATCTGCAGTAACATGAAAGGTTCCCAAGGCACTGTCCTTTTTACTGTTCTGCACAAGAGGAGCTTATTCCTTCTTTCAAATACTGCACTCATTTTATTAAGTATCATTATTTGGGATATGAAGATTCAAAAAAAAAGAGTAAGTACTGTCATCTGTACAAAAAGAGTGGGTGGCTTAAAGAGTCTTGGTTTAATACAGTACTTTTTTAAAATGATTACTAAATCAACCCTTGCTCATTTAATTATTTTCATTACTATTTTAAGTATCAATATAATTCTGAATTATCTGCATATGTCTTGCTCATTAGTCAGTGAGAACATGAGCTCTGAGACTGTCATAGTTTCAAACCCTTTCTGATAATGACTACTACTTCTACTCAACATAAGTGTTAAATTATGTAATAGTAAACCAGTACCTGCACGGAAGTGCTTGATAAATTTAATTTCCTTTTATACTTTTCAATTGTTTCATATTGCATATTATACAGCCATTTAATTAAATCCTATTTACCCACCCAGTCTTAGGTTAAAGCCTATCCTCCTACGAAGGTCCCCCCAGCTCAGCTCTCTGCCACAGTTAGAGCTAATATAAAAAAAAATTTGAGCACTTAATTACTATTTAATTGGTCTAATTCCCTCCTAGGATATTAACTCTTTGAGGGCATGGACACTGTCAAAAAGTTATTTTTCTTTCCTTGACATTTTATAGAGCATAGAGAATGTGGGAGAAATTCCGTACACGTTTCTTGCATCATTGATTTTTTTCAGTGTGCTGCTATGCTCCCCCACCTTACTCATCAGCTACGTGTGTTTAGGAATGGCTAACAATTTTAATATAGCCTAAGTAAACCATATTTATAAAGGAAAGTATGTTGGAGGAAATCATACTGAGCATTCCATAACTAAATAGACTGAATATTTGGTATTATCAGCTTCATTGCCCCTTCCATTAGGATAACTAGGAAATGACTGTGTGATTCGATTCCCAGCAATAAATGTGGTTTTATGAATTTCCTTAACAATAAACCAATTTGGCTCTTTTTCCATTTATTACTTCTTCTGGGTCAATTTTCTGGAATACTGTAATTCATGCTTGCAAATTTAAATGTGTCTTACAGGAGGACTTGTTGGTATTAAGGAAAACAGTGAAATCCTTCTTGGCTGTTTGCCAACAGTGCCTATCTAATGTCAATACTCCAGTGAAGGAACAGGTAAGAAATCACTAGTTAAGAGCTCAATAATAATAACTCAGATGCATTGAAGAACAGTAAGAAGATGTAATTTTTTTATAGCAGTTCTTATCATATAGGTCCATCCCTAACTTTATGGGACCTGGGATAAGAGTACAGATGTCTGAATAAATTTAAGTTACAAAGCAAACTAACAAACATGTTATGTGTTTTTTTGCCTTGAGAGTATACTGCAAAGCCAGGTTGAAACTTAGAATTTTTGATTCCTAAAAATTTGATACCAGAACTTCAGAGGGTTGGGGAGCTGACCTATGGCTGAAAGTCTTCTCATCTCACCTTCAGCTCTTTCCCATACCAGGAAGAACTTCTCACACATGCTTGTGAACACTTAAGCCTACATGTTCAAACTCCATCAGCATCACCACTTCAAACAGCTATTCCTTGACCACCCACACTGGGGATACATCATGCCTAGGAAAGAGGCCTACATTGGCTCTGGTAGCAGAAGCAGGTCTATTAGCGCAAGGAATCCCTATACCTGGACAGTGATATAAAAGTAGGAGTGCATTATCTGTGGAGTGAAAAAACTGAAGGAACAAAACAGCAGCAGACTCACAGAAGCCAAGAATGGACTAATGGTTACCAAAGGGAAAGGAATTGGGGAGGATGGGTGGGAAGGGAAGGATAACGGGGGAAAAGGGGTATTATGATTAGCACATATAATGTAGGTGGGGGGACATGGGGAAGGCACTATAACACAGAGAAGACAAGTCATTATTCTATAGCATCTTACTACGCTGATGGACAGTGACTGTAATGGGGTATGTGGTGGGGACTTGATAATAGAGGGAGTCTAGTAACCATAATGTTGCTCATGTAATTGTGCATTAATGATAGAAAAAAAAAGTAGGGGTGCAGGTGGGCATATCCCATTAGTCCAACAGATTCCTCACCCTTTCTGAAGAGGTGCGGCCCTCTTCCAAAGTAGAGCTTAAGGCAGTACCATTTCCATGAAGTGATTTTGTGAATTAATTATGTTCTAATGTTGGGAAGTGCTTTTATATAATGTACCATTTCCATAGTGCTTTTTATTATGATGTTGGGCTGAAAAAAGTCTAGTCAATCTAGTTAAAGGATATTAGTAGTTATCCTTTGCTATCTCTTTGTACAAATAGCAGGTCTCTTCTTTATTGAATTGTTAGCTTCTAACTTAAAAATGGGAACAGAGATGGTCTTCCCTAAACCTTATTCTCTAAACCTTCTGAACCCCACCAGTGCTGTCTAAAAAAAAAGTACTTAGCTCTGAACATTTAAACAAAAAACTCAGTGTTTCTACATCATCACTGTTTGATGCTATCCAAAACTACAGCCTCAATAAAAAGAATTATTCTCCTAGATTCCCTTTATGTATCCCTCTTTTCAAGTGATTCTTTCTAAAGATCTTCATGTGTTTGATGGTTGTATAGTCAGAGCATGAGCTGCCATGAGTCTTTCTGGAAGGTAGACAGTCAAGTATACATACCAAAATTGTGTGTTCCCATAGAAATCAATTTTTTCAGGGGGAGAGTGGATTGTTTTGGGGTATCAGAGCCCTTGATTACCCCACAACAAAATCTTTTGAACACAGGCATATTTCATACCATCCATTAAATAGAGCACATTTGGCAACATTAACTATAATACTTTCTCTTGGGGGAAGTGTATTGAAAGTTCCCTTATGTGATTAAATTTGTTGGAAAACTTTTAGATACCATACTTGTTTCTATGTGAATAGTCTTAAATTCAGTTTTAAACTACTAGAGATTTTTTCTACAGTAGAATTTTTTAAAGAAGAATCCAAAATAACAGCTTATAGGCTTAAGAGTACTGCTTTGTAATTTGTTCAGTTACAGCTTGTCCTAAGATTTATGCTTATTATTTGATTAAACAGCATGTGGTTGATTTCTAACCTTTATCATAATTTATTGTATCAATTTCATATTTCCAGAGTTAAGTTAACTTTTTTTTTTTAAGTTCAAGTCAAACCTCCTGATCAGCTGTTTTGAGCTAATATGGCCAAGAAATAGATTACCCTTAGGGGGGGGGAAGTCTTAAATATGACTAGTGTTTAATGAGAAAGTAATTTTATTAAGTTTGGAAGTAAAATAATTTTAATTTTAAATACTCAACATTTCTATTATGGTACTGTTACTGAAGTGTATTTGGTATGTTTTCATTAACATTGATTTGTAGTTGTAGTTGTGTTTGTATAGGATATTACTAATGAATTCCCTTTGCATTCCAGGCTTTCATGTTACTCTGTGATCTTTTGATGATTTTTAGCCACCAATTAATGACAGGTGGCAGGGAGGGCCTTCAGCCTTTGGTGTTTAATCCAGATACTGGACTCCAGTCTGAACTCCTCAGCTTTGTGATGGACCACGTTTTCATTGACCAGGATGAGGAGAACCAGAGCATGGGTATTTGTAGCTATCATCTTATCAGTATTAATCTTGTTTTTGCTAACCCCAAAAAGCAGAAAAAAATTCAAATTCGGTCCTGAAAAATACTAGAATTTCTCTCTTTTTAAAAAAAGTTAATACATTCATGTAATTCAGAAACCAAAAAGAATAAAAACACAGTTGTCTCAATCCTTTAATACAGTACCTTAGAGATCTTTCCATGTCACTACATATAGAACTTCTTTATTCTTTGTCTAATAAACTACATATTGTTTCATTGTTTGAACATAGCATGAATCATATTATCCATCTCATACTGATTGATATTTGGCTAATTTCCAATCTTCTCTGCTATAATGAATAATTGTGAACATCTGCCATTTCCTATATAAGCAATAGAGATAGATAGCTGATAGATAGATAGATAGATAGATAGATAGATAGATAGATAGATAGATAGATAGATAGATAGATAGATAGGCAGGCAGGTATGGGATAGATGTTTCTAATTAAACTGTGTCCATGTTCACAATTTTTCTAAAGAAAGCATCCAAGTTCCTTTTTATTCCTGAATGGTCATCATATATCATGCATATTAACAAAATATAAGACACTAACTGAAAAACTGTTAATCAAACCTCACCAGTCAAAATTGTGCTGAGCCTGCATAATGATAACTTAGCAAAATTAGACTGAAAAAAATAAATATTATATAGAATAGGTTGTGAAATAGATGATTAAAGCTGTCAAAAATAAGATCTGTCACATACCTGATCCACAGATCTATTTAGTGCTACTAGACTCTTCTTAACAGACATTTAGAAAATACTATACAGTGAAATAAAGTATCTTTATTTAGAGTTCATATTTAATCTCAGGCCACAAAGTTCACTTCCTACTTGTCTGAAGCGAAAAGATTCCCAACTTCCTAAAGCATTAATGCTTCACAGCAGGGCTGATTAGTAGAAAGGGAAGAGAGACGTTGAAAGTAAGTTCTTATATACACAGGAAGAAAAGAAAGAAAACTGCCCCCAAATAGGGGCAGGCTGAAACATGAAAGGGCCAATACGGAGCCTGAAACAAATGTGTTAACATCTGGTGCCTTGTGGAGAAAATTTTCCTAGGATTAGAAGTGAATAAGTCAGTGAAGCCTGAGAATTAAAAAAAATTGAAGAAGAAACACAGCTTGTTTTGAAAGTATTTGATAGTTTTGTTTTAAAAAATGTAATTGTGCATAACAGTTTGCAAAAGATATTTTACTTCTCAGCTGATAATGTAACCATGCACTTAAAACTAACTCTTCATATGTTTCCAGTACTTCCCATATATTTTTCTAAAAGAAGATATTTTCCATGTCATAAAAGTTGCCAGAAATTTCTTCTCTGTGGAAATATAGCTAGCAGCACATAAGGAATTTTGAAATAATAAAAGACAGCATTTTTCAGATAAACAGACAAGACAACAGTATTATTATGACAAGTATCAGGGAAAAAAATCCCCTTACATATGGTTTGTTTATCTTATTCAATCTTTATCTTTGCTAGAAGATAGGAACCTTAGTGCCTACTAAGTGTTTAATAAATGTGAACTAAATGTAGCACCCTAAAATGATCAGTATAACAGTTTTTATTCCATCTAAAACTGAATTGTACCTATTTGTGAAGTTGTCACACAGTTGGTTTTTGATTATACAGATTGTAAATTGTTTTACCTTGGATAAAGGGTACCTTGGATAAAGTTCATAACCAATTTATTTTCTGCCGTTAGAGGGTGATGAAGAAGATGAAGCTAATAAAATTGAGGCCTTACATAAAAGAAGGAATCTACTTGCTGCCTTCAGCAAACTTATTATTTATGATATTGTTGACATGCATGCAGCTGCAGACATCTTTAAACACTACATGAAGGTACAGTTTCATATTCTTATTTTTCTTATTCCATCTAAGTAACAGAAATTTGCAATTAAAAATGAAAGGGTGACAGAAGCTAAAATTGACAGCTTTTATTTATGTATTGTTAATGATATTCTAATAAATTTGAAGTTCTTTTTTATATAATTACAAGCTTTTTATCAATTTATGTATACCATTATATCAATTCTGTAAAGTAGTTCTTCACATTTATATGAAATAACACATTTTTATTTTCATGAGGCCATGAACTCTCTTAGTCAACATGGAAGAAAGCTCATATCTCTTCACATGTTTTTATAAGTATGCCTACTGTGTACCATGCTGCCTGCCATCACTAAAGTTACAAATATTTTTTTTAATTCCTGCTTTAAACTGAAGATAAAGCTGAGGATAATCAAGAAACTAGACAGTTACATTATATGGTATAAATAAGACATGTATACAGATTCTTAGAAATATATATAACATAAAGCCTGGCTCTAAAGAAATATGAGGGTAAACGAAAACTGCTCAGAAAAGTTACTCCTGAGCAAAGTCTGAGAAGATAAACATAAATCAGTTAAACAGTAGTGGAAGGACTTGTAGACAGATTGAACTTCATGTACAAAGATGCTAAGGATTATGAATTGTTTGGGGGAAATGCAAGTTATTTGATATAGCAACAGAGATTGCTTATGAGAATGAATCCAGAAATAAAATTTCAAGAAAGTGACAGGTTAAACCTTGAATGCTGTGTGAGAAATTTGGATCATTTTTCCTCAGGCAAGTAAGGTGATATTGAAGGGTATTAAACCATTCTTCATGTGACAGGATTTTCGTGGGTACCTTCCTGAGTGCTTGGTCCCCTTTCCATAAACTCCATTTTGTTACTGACAGTGCTCGGAAATCATGATATAGCCTGACAGGCACGCTTCTCAGTTTACATGTTTTTTGCTTTGTTCTTATGTCAAAGAAAGTGTTGTATTTTGCCCATGATCAGAATAGTGCATGTGCCATGTTTAGGTATGATCCAGTTCCAGTTATGACATAATAAGTAATTGGTCATATTTTGCTGCATAATTGCAAGGTGATGAGCAATGTGCTTATAGCCAAGGATTAGATAAGACATGATTTCTGCTTACAGAGTAATAGAGAAACTGAAATCCAAATATTATGTAACATGCTAATAATAAATGGCCGCCTATGTTTTGAGCCATTTATGTTTGAGCCACTGTTCTAAGGCTTTTACATTATCTTTGTTGATTATAGTAACTCTTTGAGGTAGAAATATTATCATTTACAGATAAGGAAATTAAGGCTCAGAGAGGTAAGTAACTTTCCAAGATCACACAACTATTAAAGAAGAAAAAACTGGGATTAGATTTTAGGTTTGTCTAGCTTCAAAGCTTAGCTATACAAGCTACAAAGCACGCACAGGGTATAGAGAGAGACATGAGTGAGAGAAACAGAAAAAGGCTTCCTAAATTAATGTCTAAATAGGGTTTGGATGGATGAATATGAGCTTACTATGTATGGTTTTCCCTGTCATCCCTTAACAATACTGGTTTCAAGAAATGAGTCTTAGCCAAAATTTTTATCATTCTTAACAATTTTGCACACTTCTACTCATTATAGGCTTTAATTGTTTGTGAGCATTCTAATAGCTATTTGCTATGCTATTGTATATTCTTGGCTATGAGGCTTTTTAACCCACTTCACTATGTGATCATTACAAATGTGAATTTATTAGAGATCTGCCTACAGAACCACTTCAGTGTCTTAATATATCTTTCTCTTTTTTCCTGCATTGCAATAATTTTTAATTAGATTCTTTTGAGCTATTTCCTCTTTTTTTGCACCTCACATCATGGAAGTATACCCATCTTTTTGAAGATCATAAAAATCCAGTTGCCAAGCTGATACACTCATTTCTTCACATAGGTTATAGGTTAGGCTTTATCCAGAAATTACATCCAGATTTATCAGAAATTACATCCAGATTTAATGGTTTCATGTAAAGCTTTTCCTAATCATTTACTCACAAGGAAAATTCTTTAAATCCTGTGTCCAAAAAATAAACTATAAAAAAACTTATTAAATTCTTCTCAGTCACTATTGAAAAAGTCAAATCAGTATTTTTATTTTTTATAATAGTAAAATATGGACATGTTGGGGGGGGGGAATGAGATAGTACACAAAAGAATTAAATAAAAAGTTAAGTGCATTACCCTAATCTGCCCTTTCCCCTTATATATATCCATTCCCCAGAGGTGTAAGCAGTTCTGTTTTGGTTTTAGTTCTTCAGAAAAGTTTCCACCAAAGTTTTTTTTGTATTTGTTACCTCATAAATGATGTCTGTTGAGTCCATGTTAAAAAGAATAAGGAATTTTGCTTATCTATACCACTTTTATCTTTTTAAATTCCAATTTTTTAGTTTGTTACTAGTATTTTTGTAATCTTAAATTTCAAATGTGTATGCCTATCTTTTAATGCTCATTATGTTTAAGATGAAGAAATTAAATATCTATACTCACCCTTGCATTGCTTTCACCAACCCATTCTTTATTTCATGAAATTTAAATAATCGTAAAAAACTGTGTTTCTTTCTTTTCCTTACAGTATTACAATGACTATGGTGATATTATTAAGGAAACACTTAGTAAAACCAGGCAGATTGATAAAATTCAGTGTGCCAAGACCCTCATTCTCAGTTTGCAACAGGTAAGAAATTTGAAAGGAAAGAGACAGAGAGTAGAATTAATATTGAGCACTTCCCTGTGCTTAGTAGGTGCTATCAGGTATCTTCATTAAACTAGGTCATTGTCTCAGTGGTTCCTGTGAGTACATTGTGGTACAAATTTGTGTGTTATGTATCTTTTCTTACGGAAGATAATCCTGTAGTTCTCATTTCAAACAGATGAAATCCGAATTTGGACAAGATGAAATGCCATATTGGACATTTTAGAAGTAATCATTTAAAATTAAAAAGAAATATATATTTTAAAAGTATTTAATGATGAAGGGGCAACAGTAGTAGTCAAAGAAGAAAATATGTAATATCTATTGTATAAATAAGATTCCTAGTAAATTAATATAGAAATTTTGATGTGAAGGTGTCTGGAGGTATGTGTGTATATAGTTAGTCTACAATAAAGGTCTCATTTCAAATCAGTGGGAAAAGATATTCAATAAATGGTCAATTGACTATGTAGTTGGACAAGTAGTCATTTATAACCCTACCTAACATCACCCAGAATAATTCTGGGTAGAGTATATGTAAACATTAAATATTAAAAGTTTGTGAGAAAATAAAAGGATATTTTTATATCCTGGAGTAGGGAAATTCTTACTGAGGAAAGAAACCACAAAGTGAAAAATTGATGATTATTAAACTTAAGTAAGCTTACACATCAGTCAGCACTCTGAACAAAGTTAAAAAGCAGATGACAGATTGAGGGAAAATATGTTCACTAATGTATAACAAATCCTTCAAATTACTGAGATATCTAAATCCCTTAGAAAAGTGAGCAACAAACATGAAAAGCACTTTTCAGAAGAGGAAATCTGAAAAACCAATAAGCATAGAAAACAGGCATAACTTCATTAATAATGAAATACAAATTAGAGTGAGGAAGTGTTTATCACTGCTGAACAGATTAGCATGAATTAAGATGATTGGTAATAATGATTGATAAAGATGTGGAGAAAAAGGTCTCCTTATGAAAGAAATTGCTCTTGCCTTCTTAGAATATAATTTTGCAATATATTTCATAATATAAGATATATATTCCCTTTAAACCAGTATTTTTGCTACTAGGTATCTACTTAGAAATATGCAGATATGCACAAAGATATATATGAAAGATGTTTCATTGCAGCAGTCTCTGTAATACTAAAAAATTGGAAATAGTCTGAATGTCCAGCAACAGAAAAATGGTTAAATAAACTGTGATACTCTGAAGCATCTACAAGGTTTTTAAGACAATTAAGTGAAAAATAGCAAATTTCAGGACAAAGTATAGCACCACTTATGTAAAAATTTGTATTTGTAATATTTGTAATATATTAACATATCTAAACTGATCTAGAAAACTTTCAAACTTTAACATTGATTACCTTTGGAGAAAAGAATGATTATTTAGTGGGAAAGAAAGAAGAGAACTTGTACTTTGATATTCCCTTGAATTTTGTACAATGAAATATATTGTTCACACTCATTTTAAATGTGAATTTTAAAGCTATTGTATACAACTGTCTGTGAAACATTTTGAAATTTAAGAATCTATAAACAATTACCTATGAATAAATTTGAAAATCTCTGGAAGAGCTGCTGTTCCAAGTCATGGCATGGTAAGTAGTTCAGACCAAGTGCTAAAGAAAACTAAAAGAGGGACAATGTAATTAGCAGAATACAAGAGCTATGTCAATGGAATGGTGTGATTAAACTGAATTGAGAGATCGGGAGGTGAGGAAGTGAAAACAAATATAACCAGTTCTTGGAACAAATAGTTCTAAAATTCATATGGAACCACAAAAAACCCAGAATAGCCAAAGCAATCCTGAGAAGGAAGAATACAGCAGGGGGCATCTCCCTTTCCAACTTCAAGCTCTACTACAAAGCTACAGTAATCAAGACAATTTGGTACTGGCACAAGAGCAGACCCATAGACCAATGGAACAGACTAGAGAGTCCAAATATTAACCCAAGCATATATGGTCAATTAATATACAATAAAGGAGCCATGGACATACAATGGGGAAATGACAGCGTCTTCAACTGCTGGTTTTGGCAAAACTGGAACAGCTACATGCAAGAGAATGAAACTGGATTATTGTCTAACCCCATATACAAAAGTAAACTCAAAATGGATCAAGACCTGAATGTAAGTCATGAAACCATAAAACTTTAGAAAAAAACATAGGCAAAAACCTCTTGGACATAAATATGAGCAACTTCTTCATGAACATATCTCTCTGGGCAAGGGAAATAAAAGCAAAAATGAACAAGTGGGACAATATCAAACTAAAAAGCTTCTTTACAGCAAAGGATACCATCAGTAGAACAAAAAGACATCCTACAGTGTCAGACAATATATTCATAAATGACATCCGATAAGAAGTTGACATCCAAAATATATAAAGAGCTCATGCACCTCAACAAACAAAAAGCAAATAAGCCAGTTAAAAAATGGGCAGACGAGCTGAACACTCTCCAAAGATGAAATTCAGATGGCCAACAGACACATGAAAGATACTCCACAGCGTTAATCATCAGAGAAATGCAAATTAAAACCACAGTGAGATATCACCTCACACCAGTTAGGATGACCACCATCCAAAAGACAGACAACAACAAATGTTGGCGAGGATGTGGAGAAAGGGGAACCCTCCTACACTACTGGTGGGAAAGTAAATTAGTTCAACTATGGTGGAAAGCAGTATGGAGGTTCCTCAAAAAACTAAAAATAGAAATATCATTTGACCCATGAATTCCACTCCTAGGAATTTACCCTAAGAATGCAATAGCCCAGTTTCAAGAAGACATATGCACCCCTGTGTTTATCGCAGCACTATTTACAATAGCCAAGACATGGAAGCAACCTAAGTGTCCATCAGTAGATAAATGGATAAAGAAGATGGGTACATATACACAATGGAATATTATTCAGCCATAAGAATAAAACAAATCCTACCATTTGCAATAACATGGATGGAGCTAGAGGGTATTATGCTCAGTGAAATACAAGTATCAAATGATTTCACTCAGCTGTGGAGTAAAAGAACAAAGCAAAAACTGAAGGAACAAAACAGCAGCAGACTCACAGAACCCAAGAATGAACTAACAGTTACCAAAGGGAAAGGGACTGGGGAGGGTGGGTGGGAAGGGAGGAATAAGGGGGAAAAGGGGCATTACGATAAGCATACATAATGTAGGGAGGGGCACGAGGAAGGCAGTAGTAACTCTGTAGCATCTTACTACACTGATGGACAGTGACTGTAATGGGGTATGTGGTGGGGATTTGATAATGGGGGTATCTAGTAACCACAGTGTTGCTCATGTGAGTGTATAGTAAAGATACCAAAAATAAAGTAAATAAAAATATCACCAGTTCAATGAAAAAAAAAAGAAAAATACTTTTAAAAAATTGGGATCATATTGAAAAACAAAAAACAAATGTAAACAGTTCTTTTCAGGATCTTTGCCATATAGAGAATCAGAAAAATGGGTTGGAAGCTAGCAGAGGAGTTGGTGTTAGGAAGTTATGTTTTGAGTTTTTTTTTTAAGATGTATGCATCTAGTAGAGAAGGAATAGTTAATGATGTAGGAGAAAGCAGTAAGCACAGGAGCAAAACTGACAGATTGGTAAAAGAGTGAAATTTAATACATGAGGAAGAAGTGGCTTTAGATGACCTACACTCTTCATGTCTCATAATAAGAGGGAAAGCAAATGTGTCTAGAAACATTTAAGTTTCCAACTTTGGTGGTAGAGTGACTGTTGCTTTTTTATATCCTTTATTACTGCAGGGTTTTGTTTTTATTTTGATACTATATAATATGTGTGTAATTTATAAAACCTCTCCAGCAGCTTAACTTTTTGTATACTTTGTTATGGGGTGGGAAAATCACCCCATATATCCACATGGTCTTTTTTACATAATGTTCTTGTCTAAGATACAGTAAGGTAAATAACAAAGTTCTAAACCCTGTATTTCACATATTGCCATTCCTGTGAAAACAAAAAGAATACATAGATGTTACAAACACATAGTATATTTCCCCAAACATAATTACTTTTCCCAGCCTAAAGTGCATTCATTTTTTGTTAAAAAGAAATGAATTTCTGTTGGTGTTTAATCACACAACTAGCATGAAAATGAGCTAGTAATGGTAGATGACTTGGAGAAGGGGAATAGTATGGCTCCAGTTAAGTGGAAGGAGGGAAATACATATTTACCATGTGCCTTTTAAATATTTTAAGACTATATTACCTATTCTAGCAATAAAACAAATACATCTTAGCAATAGGTTTTTTCCTTTTTCTTTCTACCAGTTGTTTAATGAACTCGTTCAAGAGCAAGGTCCCAACCTAGATAGGACATCTGCCCATGTCAGTGGCATTAAAGAGTTGGCACGTCGCTTCGCCCTTACATTCGGACTCGACCAGATCAAGACACGAGAAGCAGTTGCTACACTTCACAAGTGAGTGAGCTAAATAAACACTTTCTGTTCTACAGGGATCTGGCTTTGTGGAATTTAACAAACAGCTATTATTTGACCCATTTTTTAAGTGACATACAGAATTTTCAAGTTATAAGAACTTTAGATTGTCTAGTGATTCTCAACTAAGAAGGCATTTTTAATTGGGAAAAAAATCCCATTTTTTCACCTTACTTAGTATAGAAAGTAAAGTTTAACAGTATTCTTATCTGTCTATCAGTGAGAAAGTATTATGGTAGATGTGTTTTAGAACACTGTGCAGTACTGATTTGGCCAACCTCATTTCATAACTGAAAATTGAATGAATGAGAACTTTTAAGTACCTTAGCAAAAACTCAAAGCTGCTTGTACCATGACCAACTCTTAAGAACCGGATTTTCTGACAATCTAATTATCTTTCAAGGGTATTCTGTTAACCCCAAAAGATTCACATGGGAATTTAGTTTTGTGGCTATTTAGCTATTTTTAAAATTATTTTTCACAATTTGTAGTTTCTATTGTAAGTAATAAAATTAAATACTATTATGCAAATAATTACTGTGTCATACAAATTAACATCATTTTACCATTTGGATTTATCAGGTTTTACTACTTTTGATGATGAGTTCACTGCCTTCCAGTTGAAATTCTAGCACATGAGAGAACTATACTAGTTATCTAGAAAAAATAAGATAATGTTTTCTTTTACTTCAGGGATGGCATAGAATTTGCTTTTAAATACCAAAATCAGAAAGGACAGGAATATCCACCTCCTAATCTGGCTTTCCTGGAAGTACTAAGTGAATTTTCTTCTAAACTTCTTCGACAGGACAAAAAGACTGTGTAAGTTGCACATTGCAAGAAAAATGGCTTTTAATCATATCAATGTAATTTTAAATGTTTATTTTTTAAGAAAAACTTAATCATCTAGATGCAACTATCATTGATAGCTTAGGCTCTGATAGTTTGTTTTGAGGAGCTATAATTTTCTTTCAAGCTTTATAGTTGTTCTTTCCAGTTTAAGTACCCTAGAATTTGCAAGATTAAATTAAACAAAGTGGAATTGATTTCTTACTCTGCAGTTCAGAGTTGTATGAACATTGGCAAGGCCATTGTGTAACCCATTCTTTCCTTTTATATTAATTATATTTTAGTTTAGTTTGATTTGTTTCAGACAATTGATTTCTCTTTTTGATAACTGCTAACAGTTTAAAGAAATATATTCAATTTTCAAAAAATTTTTCATGGACTGTTTCATTTAGAACAGACTAGAAAACTTTAAGAGAGTGATTCTGTAATAGATTTCAAATTTTATAAATTGGTAGGTGAGTCAATTAAAATAATATGCTAAATTTGGAGCAGAAATTTGGAGAGACAGTTAAAGTTTATGTGAATGTGAATGACTGTTCTAAGGAAAGGTGCTGACTTCATGTTGGTCAGAAATTTATATATATCATATATAATATATATGATATAGTGATGGTGTATGTGGTGGGGACTTGGTGATGGGGGAGTCTAGTAAACATAATGTTCCTCATGTAATTATAGATTAATGATACCAAATATATATATATATTATATAATATGTATACACATTATACATATATAATAAGATGCGTATAATGTACATAATACATATTATAATATAGCTTATGTTGTAATGGAGGGAGACACAACATAAACATATGAATAAGAGTTTCAGTCACTGAAACAGGATAATATGATAGAGAATGACTGGTGTTCGGTGGGATGGTTTGAAAACTTTTATTACAGGCATTTGGGCATACATTTTCCCTAGTATTATGTTAGCTACATCTCATAATTTTGGGGATCTTGCATTTTTGTTTTCTTTCATCTCAAAGTATTTCATTTCCCTTGTGATTTCTTCTTTAATCCATTGGTTATTTAGGAGTGTTTTTTTTTAATTTCCTCATATTTGTGAATTTCCAAATTTTTCTTCCATTATTGATTTCAATTTCCTTCTGTTGTGGTTAAACAACATGCTTTGTAGGGTTTTAATCCCTTTGAATTTATTGAGGCTTGTTTAATGGAACAACATATGGTCTATTCTGGAGAATGTTCCTTATTTACTTAAGGAGAACGTATATTCTTCCTGCTGTTAGTGAGTGGAGTTTCGTTCTGCAGATGTCTGTTAAGTCCAGCTGGCTTATAATTTTCTTCATACTATTGTTCAAGTCTTCTGTTTCCTTTTTGATCTTTTGTCTAATTCTATCCATTATCAGAAGTGTGATACTGAAGTCCCCAACTATTACTATTGCATTGTTTTTTCTGCTTTCAATTCTGTCAGTTTTTTATTTCATGTATTTTGGAGCTTTGTTGTTAGGTAGATAAAAGTTTATAATTGTTGTGTCTTCCTGACGGATTGATTCTTATCATTGTGAAGTCCTTCTCTATCTAGTAATTTTTGTCTTAAAGTCTGTTTTCTCTGATACTAATGTAACCCCTCCAGCTCTTTTACTGTCACAACCTTTTTTCCATCCTTTCACTTTTGGCCTTTGTGTCTTTGAATCTCAGTGTGTTTCTTGTAAGAAGCATATTATTAGATCTCTGCCTTATGTTTTTTATTTTCTATATGTCTCTGTCTTTGTTTTTTTCTATTATTGCCTTCTTTTATATTAAGTGGATATTTTCTAGTACAGTATTTTAATTCTTTCAAAAATTTTTAATTGTACCTTTTTAGTTATTTTCTTTGTGGTTTTTCTAGGCATTACAATGTTCATCTTATAGAAATTTACTTCAGATTTATTAGGAGGAAATACAAAAATTTCAATGCTATATAGCTCCACTTGCTCCTTCCCTTTTTTTTGCCATTATTGTTACACACACACATACTGCATCTAAATATGTTACAAACAAATATATGTTGTTAAACTTACTACTTGGTATAATCTGTGTCTTTTAAATAAGCTGAGAGAAAGGAAACCAAATATATACTCATAGAGTTTATTATATTTTAACCTTCTTATTTACCATTTCTGGTTCTCTTTACTTTTTCCACATACCATCTGGCATCATTTCCTCACTCTTAATACATCTTTGTTCCCACTCACTTCTCTGGTGCTTATTTCCAATCCAAATATATTACAGCTCTGTTATAGCCCAACAATATAGTAATATATATTGTTTTATGTAATTGCTTCTTAAATTAGTATAAAAAATAAAGGACAAGTAAATATGCAATTATATTGTCTTTTATAAGTACCTAGTAATTACCTTACCACTCTCTTTGTATATTCGTGTAATTTAGATTATTCTGTGGTATCAGCTGCTTTCAGCCTAAAGAACTTCTTTTACTATTTCTTTTAAGGCAGGTCAGCCAGCAACAAATTCTCTCAACTTTTGTCATCTGGGAGTGCATTTATTTCATCTTTAGCTTTGAAATACAGCTTTGCTAGAGGTAGGATTCTTGTCTGCAGTTTTTTATTTTAAGTGCATGGACTGTTATCCCACTGCTTTCCAGCTACCATTGAAGAGAACTTGACTTTTCAGCTTACTGGAGTTCCTTTGTGTGTAATGAGTTACTATTCTCTAACTACTTGCAAAATTTTTTCTTTATCTCTGGCTTTCACATTTTGACTTTGATGCATCTGTCTGGATGCATCTTTGCATTTCGTGCTTAGATTTGTTGAGTTCTGAGACTATATAATGTTTTTTATAAAATTTAGAAGTAATTAGCCATATTTCTTCAAATTTCATTTCTGCTCCTTTCTTCCCCAGGTACTCCCATTATGCATGTTGGTGCACTTACTGATACCCCACCTTCTCAGGCTCTGTTCATTTATCTTCTTTTTCTTCTCTTCAGATTGCATTAACTCTACTGATATATCTTCAAGATTACTGATTTATTCTTCTTCCAGCACAAATCTGTTGAGTGCCTATAGTGAATTTTTAATTTCTATCACTGTACTTTTCAATTTCAGAATTTCCATTTGGTTCTTTTTCATTTCTTTTTTATTCATATTCTCTCTTTAATGAGAGAGTGATGTCATACTTTTAATTATTTAGACATAGTTTTCTTTAGTTCTTTGAACATAGTTAAATAATTGCTTTGTAATCTTTGTGTGCCAAGTTTCTGTTTCTATATTTAGGTCACATTGCCCCATTTCTTTACGTTTCTCATAAATTTTTGCCAAAAACTGAACATTTTAAATAACATATTGCATATATGATACATTGTGAAATATTTACTCTCTCTTCATACTGATTCTCTGCCTCCCTGGAGATACATGTTGTTTTCTTGGCTCTTTGTTTGGAGACTTGGATAAACAAACTGTGTGGTCTCTTCCTCTTTCAGTGTGCAGTCCCTACTGTCCCTACTCAGATCTTCTTTTTTTTTTTTTTCACTGTTTGGCTTTGGCACCTAGGGTTTACCTCTATGTCAGCATAAGCTTTTTATCAATCAGAGGTTGTGCTTAAACCTCCCTAGCCAGTTAGAGTTTTACCTTTGACTGTTGGGTGCTTGTGTGGCTTGAAGGCCCCTGTCGGAGTTCAGGGTGCTCACTCTGCTCCATACTCAGCCAGGGGACTAGCAGCTTGGAATTTCCCTCTCTAATTGCTCCTGAGAAGGGCAGCTATTAGGTGAACACAGTCTCCCACTCTAACAGGGAAGTATGTGATCTGATTTAATTAATTTACTTTACCTTTATTTTTTAAGTGTAGTTTTAGGTTCACAGCAAAATTGAGGAGAAGGTACAGAGAATTCCCATTAGCCCCCTGCCCCTGTGTGAATAGCCTCCCCATTGCCAACATTCCCCATCACAGTGGTCCACCTTTGGAACTGATGAACCTACTTTGGCCCATGATAATCACCCAAAAGTCATAGTTTATGTTACAGTTCACTCTTGGCATTGTACATTCTGTGGGTTTAGAAAAATATAATCATATGTATCCATTATTTTGATACCATACAAAGTTTTTTTATGTCCCTAAATATCCTTTGTGTTCTGCCTGTTCATTCTTCCTCCCCTCCTCCCAGTCCCTGGAAACCACTGATCATTTCTGTAGATTTGCCTTTTCCAAAATTTCATATAGTTGGAATTACAGAGTATGTAGCCTTTACAGATCAGCTTCTTCAACTGTAATGTTTATTTAAAGTTCTGCCATGTCACACGGATGGAGCTAGAGGGTATTATGCTCAGTGAAATAAGCCAGGCAGGGAAAGACAAGTACCAAATGATTTCACTCATATGTGGAGCATAAGAACAAAGCAAAAACTGAAGGAACAAAACAGCAGCAGAATCACAGAACCCAAGAGTGGACTAACAGTTACCAAAGGGAAAGAAGGGACTGGAGAGGGTGGGGGAGAAGGGAGGGTAAGGGGAAAAAGGGACATTACGGTCAGCAAACATAATGTAGCAGGGAGGGGGGCATGGGGAAGGCAGTGTAGCACAGAGAAGACAAGTAGTGACTCTACAGCATCTTACTATGCTGATGGATAGTGACTGTAATGGGGTATGTGGTGGGGACTTGATAATGGGGGGAATCTAGTAACCACAATGTTGTTCATGTAAGTGTATATTAATGATACCTAAATAAATAAAGTTCTGCCATGTCTTTTCATAGCTTAATAGCTCATTTCTTTTTAGCATTGAATAATAGTCCATTGTCTGGATGGACCACAGTTTATCCATTCCGCTACTGAAGGACATCTTCATTGCTTTCAGGTTTTGGTAGTTATGAATAAAGCTGCTATTCATAACATTCTAACATCCCTGTGTATAGATGCTGTAAACATCCCTGTGCAGGTTTTTGTGAGGACTAAGTTTTCAGCTCAGCAACTTTCGATACATACCAAGGAATGCACTTGATGAAGTGCATGGTAAGAGTATCTTTAGTTTTGTAAGAAATGGCCATACTGTCTTCCAAAGTTGCTGTATCCTTTTGCATTCCCACCAGCAGTGTATCAGCATTTTCTCACTAGTATTTGGTATTACTGTTGGATCTAAATGGATTTGGGCCATTCTAATAAGTGTGTAGTGACATCTCTTTTTAATTTGCATTGCCCTGATGACATATGATGTGGAGAATCTTCTCATGTGCTTATTTGCCATCTGTATGCTTTCTTTGGTGATGTACCTGTTCAGTTTCTTTGCCCATTTTTTGATTGGGTTGTATTGCTGAATATTTAAGAGTTACTCGAGTATGTTACATAGCAATCCTTTATCAGACGTGGATTTTGCAAATATTTTCTCTCTGACTGTGGTTGTTTTCTCATTCTCTAGACAGTGTCTTTTGCAAAGCAAAGGTTTTTCATTTTAATGAAATCAGCTTTTCATTTAAAAATTATCAATTCTTTCTTCATGGATCTTTAGTGTTATATCTAAAAAGTTACCACCATACACAAGTTTACCTACATTTTCTCCTTTGTTATCTTCTAGGAGTTTTATAGTTCTGCATTTAACATTTAGGTCTGTGGATTGATTTTAAGTTAATTCTTATGAAAAGTATAAGGTCTGTCTTTTTTTTTTGCTTGTGGATGTGCAGTTGTTCTGGCACCATTTGTTAAAGATACTGTCTTTCTTCCCTTTTATTGCCTTTGCTCCTTTGTCAATAATCAGTTGATTGTATTTATGTGGTTCAGTTTCTGAGTTCTCAATTATGTTCCATTGATCTACCACACAGTACTGATTATTGTTGCTTTTTTTTCCTTTTCTCCTCAGCTTGATTGAGATATAGTTGATATATAATGTCTAAATTTAAGGTGTATAATGTGATTTGAAATATGCATATATTACAAAATGATTATACTGTAGTTTTAGTAAGTCTCACAGTTGGGTGGTGTCATTCCTCCAACTTTGTTCTTCAATACTGTCCATGAAGACACTAGTCCGTAGTTTTCTTACAATGTCTTTCTCTGGTTTTGGTATTTAGGGTAATGTCAGCATCATATAATCAGTTATAAAGTATTCCCCACTGCTTCTATATCCTGAAAGAGAGTGTAGAAAATTGGTATATTTTCTTCCTTAAATGTTTGCTTAAAATCCACCAATGAACCCATTTAAGCCTGGTGCTTTCTGCTTTGAAAGGTTATTAATTATTGGTTCAACATCTTAAAGATACAGGCCTACTCAAATTGTCTGTTTCTTCTTTTGTGAGCTTTGACAAACTGTATTTCAAAGAATTGGTCTGTTTCATCTAGATTATCAGATTTGTGGGCACAGAGTTGTTCATAGTATTCCTTAATTTTCCTTTTAGTGTCCATAGCACCGATAGTGATGTGTCCTTTTTCACTTCTGATGTGAGGAATTTGTGTCTTCTCTCTTTTTTTCTTAGATAGCCTGGCTAGAGGCATATCAATTTTATTGATCTTCTGAATTTACAGCTCAGGTTTTCCTGCCCCAACAATGGTTCCAAAGGTGGTACTGGATAAAAGGACCTTTAGTACCGTGGTGATGAGGTGTGGGAGGGGGGGGAGTGTTCTGTAGTCTTGTGATTAGGTCTCAGTCTTTCAGTAAGTTTATGCCTTTGGACTATGAACTTCACAAGTGTTTCTTCATTTTTTTTCTTCACTCTTAGGTGGGAAAGGATGGCTGGAATGGGCTGCAGTGGGGGAATTACCCTTCTCCCCTTTCAGTTAGGTTCTGATAATACCCCAGCAAGTTAGGCTTTGCTAACTAGTTTCCCCTGAGGACAGGCCTTGCTAAGAACAATATACTTTGGCAGATTTCAGAATGTTTCTTTTCCCTTCCCCCTGCTGGAAACACAAATGGAATTTTCTCTGGTATTTACTGTGGGAACCTGGTTGAGCTTTTGGAGATAAATCTCACAGTATTGTGGGGGACCCCCTTTCCCCATGACTGGATCCCCTAGAGTTTTTAACTGTCAGACTTGTCCATAGTGAGTGTCCAGCAATTCATGAATTACAGCTCAGGTTTTCCTGCCGCAACAATGGTTCCAAAGGTGGTTTCGGCTCCACTAAGCTGTGACCTCCTGTGTTCACCTGCAGATCTTCAGGGCAGTGATTTTCCTGTCTTACAAATCCAAGAAGAGTTGTTGATTTTTCAGTCTGCTCAGCTTTTGTTAGGATGACAACTATTGGCTTCTTATGTTCAGAACTGAAAACAGTCTATTGTCATTTTATTTTTCAGCCTGGCTTCCTAGGAACTGCTCTTGGGCCAGAGCAGCTTATTGCTCAGTCACTGTTTGATTATATAGGTTGTGCTTAAGCCCCTTGTGCCAGTGAGGCTTCCACCCTGTGTTGGTAGATGTGTGTGGGTCTTAGGGAATGATTTCAGGGCTACCCCCTGTTCTGTTTGCCCATGAGTAGGTACAGCTTAAGTGTAAGTGCAGAGCCTTCCCCAACTTCCAGGATTGACTGTGATCCCAGGAGGGCACCTGGCTGCTTTTAAAACCTGTGTTAAATGTCTGGCTGCTCTATGCTAATTTGTTTCTGCACATGTCAGAGAACACCAACACCCTCTTTATTTGCTTTTCATCAAGATCTCCATTGTTTTCAACAACTCCCTTAAGCAAGGAATTGTCTATACTTGATTCCAGATAGAGTCAGTACTCCCAGACATCTGCAGATCTTCATCTTGTGGTCCGCCTCAGCCCTGAGGGCGAACTCGTATGCCACTAACAGGAGCTGAGGTCTGGGGCCGTCTCTCTCTTTTCCCAGAATAACATCCTGTTCTGTGAGCCAGGGGTAACCCCTGTTTCTCTGCTTGCCCCTCCAAGTGTGGAACCTGTGTTCTATAAAGGGAGCCTCTGAGATGGGGCCTTCAGAGCCCCAGTATTCTAAGCCTACTGTGCCTGGGTGAGAGTTACTGCCTCACAAGTAAGGGAAGGGAGCTTCATTCCTCCCAGCTGCTGCCTAGACTAGAGCTTCTCTGACACACCAATTGTCTGTTTCTTCCAAGGTAGCTAGAGAGAGAGAGAGAGAGAGAGAGAGAGAGCCCCCATCTTCTTACCCACGTCTGCCCAGAGTAGAGTCCCTATAAAGTTTCCATAACACAGAGCTGTGACAGGGGAGAAGGGCACAGGGGTTCTGAGCAGTTTATAGTTTATGTACTACAAATTCTCATTTATTGAGTTTGTAGATTTTCTTGAAGAATTGTTTCTCTATTTGTTTCTCCAAGGGCATACCCTTAGGACAATTTTTGAAGACTTTAAGTGATTGTCTTTTAAAATTTTCACCAGTTCAAAGATTGTTTTGCTGGGGAAGAGGCTATGCTAAGCTCCTCATTCCACCATTCTAGAAATCCTTCCCTGGTTTATACATTTGAAAATAAAATTCAGTAACATCTTTGAGCCAAACTTACGAATTTTTTAACACTAGTATTTAAAAATAAAGTCAGAAATATAGGAAGGACCACACACCCTTAGCAATACATTTGCCTGTTTAAAAGTATTCCAGGAATATGTGAAGAAAAATTTTTAATTTTCATCCCTATCTTTGTAAAGGTCACCACTGTTAACAGTTTAATGTGTGTCTTTAAGAGTCTTGAGAATCTTCAGAAAGAGCATCTCAGGTTATGAGAAAATTAAGTAAGTGACACATGACATGCTTCCATGAAAATCACTGCTGCTTGCATTGTACTTTCTAGTCATTCATATCTGGAAAAATTCCTTACGGAGCAAATGATGGAAAGGAGGGAAGATGTATGGCTTCCACTCATATCCTACAGAAACTCACTAGTCACTGGAGGTGAAGATGACAGAATGTCTGTGAACAGTGGAAGCAGCACTAGTAAGACCTCGTCAGTAAGGAGTAAGAAAGGCCGACCCCCACTGCACAAAAAAAGAGTAGAAGGTAAGTCTTCCGTCTCAGTGAGACACACGTAGTCAAAACGTAGACAAAAAGTGGGACAGAGAAGCGTCAAGGAAAAAGTTGCAAGAGCATGAAACAGAGCTAGACAGTCACAGAGAACAGGAGGATGTAGTTAGGAAGGTTTATAAAATTGATCCCCATATGACAGGTCTCTGACACAGAAAAATATCAAAGTTCATTCTGATGATTCTAGTGAGTTGTGGGTAGTTGTGGTATATTCACTTTTCTCTGCAGCAAATTGAATATACCAGAAGAACTTTTCATTTCTACCCCTTAGGTGAATAATTTGTTTTGTACATTAAGATAAAGATAGTCAAATCTGGTTTTATAACCCTCATGGACTGTGGGGAATGAGTTGAATTACCGTGAAAATGTGATATGTAGATATTCATATATCCAGAAAGACTAAAAATTGCTTCATTAAAATAAAACATTAGTCTTAAACTATGAAAACTCAAAGTAAAAAAGCTTATTTCTTCAAATAGTGTTCCCCCATCTCCATGCATCTCCTAATAAAGATGCTTCAAACCAGGATCTGAATCCTGCTCCACTCCTTTTTACAACCTTCTATTTACTATTCAGCATCTCATCTCTGCTGCTTAAAAAATAGTGACTCGTCAACAATTTTGGTAAAATATGTGGTTTAGTTAGAATTTAAATAAAATGTCTCATCACTGGGGAGGCCGTATTGACTATTGATGAAGAATACAAACTCTAAAGTCAGAGTTCCAGAATTCAAACTTGGCTTTCTCATTTTCAGCTATGTGAACTTTGGACATGGTACTTAACCTCTCTAAGCCTCAATCACTAACCAAATGAAGGATAATCAGAGTACCTGTCCTGTGAGCTTTGTGAATATTAAATGAGATACTCCAAATAAAACACTCAGTACACACACAGTGCTTCCTTACCACGGTGCTTGGCATATGAGTAGCGGTCAATCAGTGTCAGGCTGCTGTTGTCACAGTGTCATCATCGTCATTCAGCAGTGCCCCTTATCTAGCATCAGTCAGTGGATTAGGCTGAAAATATATATATTTCAAAGAGAATAAAAGATTTGAAAATATTTACAGAATTAATGTTAAAGTTCAAGATTTCCTTTCAAGTGTGAACTTTAGGACTTAAAATCTTTTTGGTCCACAGAAAGAAAACCGAAACCCTGTCTTTGTAGTGTAGAATCCCAAACTTTTCTCTAAAGAATGACTTCAGTAATTCATTTCCATTTGAAAATGTCTTCCAGAGCTATCAGCGTTCTCCATCTGTCTCTCTCTCTATATATATATATTTTCCCCCTACTCACAGCTTTTCCTAGATGTAATACATTAGCCAACATTCATCACATCTTTACTATGTGCCAAGAATGTGTTTTACATGCATTATATCATTTAATCGTTCATTTGACTAATATTTGTAAAACATTTAGGTCATGCTTTACAAATGCTACTAAATGCTAAATAAATGTTTTATAACTGAACTGAGTTTAACACTATTATCCATATAGTAATACAGAAGAAACTAAGGCTTAGAGAATTTAAATAACCTTCTATAGTCCACTAGTGGGGCAGGGCAGTCTTACCTCAGGAGTAAAAAAAGCATATATGGAACAGATAACCTAATTTGGTGATGATTAAATTGTGAAAAAAGAAAACTTCCTCTGTGTTAGTTTGAAGTTTACCAAGTAACTATGGGGGAGGTTACATGCCCTTAGGCAACAGAGTGTCATCTGTTTGGGGTAAAGATGAAAAAGCTTTACAAAAAGTATTTTCATTGAATCTTCAGGGGTTTCAGGATTTCTGCAGAAGGAAGAGTGAGTTCTTCCTCAAGTTATTCATTCATTCAGAAAGTCTTTACCAAGCACCTGCCTAAGAACTATGGTAGATGTTGCAGGTTATAAATTAATCACAGAGCTCTGGGTACAGATGGACAGGGAAGCAGGCAATTTCAGTTCAGCATGGTAAGTATTCTGATGGGCCTGAAAGGTTCTCTGGGACATAAACAAGGAGTGACCAAACCGTTAATGAAAATCAGAAACAGTTTCTGTAAAAGATGTAGGAGAGCTGAAAAATGAATTCACCAGGTTAGGAACCAAAATGACAGCCATTCTTATGATCATACAGTTTTAAGTGTGACAACAAATTAAAGTTTTTAATAAGTCTGGAATTAAATGTTGAATGAAAAGTGGTATGAATAAAGAGGATGAAATAGTATCTTTGCTTATTAAGAGGAGAATCAGTAACTGAGAAAAGATCTGAGCTTCATATCAGTGGAATTATCTTAACCAGACAATAGGTCGGTATTTCCAGGGACAGAAAAGCCAATCCAGAAGGTAGAGATGTCTGACAAAATGTTTGAGACTTGGTAAATACACTGACAGAGATGGAATGCTTCATGGCAGATAAGGAGCCTAAAACATGTGCACACCTCTGAGACTTAATGGAAGAGGAAAAACAATGGAATTCATATATACTTTGTGATTAAAATTCATCAGAAGGAAAAACAGCAGTAATCCTTTTTTTCTTAAGTCTCCCCATGTTAAGAAAGTAATTTAAAATTTGTATAGGTGGAAACTTCATTATTTAACATTTATATCAGGATGTAGCTTAGGTATGCAAATAATGCTTTTAATCTACTTAAACCTAATTGTAGAGATAACAGATACACTTGACAAATCACCTGCCGATGCAGGACAGTTACAGTTAAGTCCTAAGCAAGCAGGAATGATTCTGTCATTCAGAACTTAAGAAAGAATGGGAAGTAGGGGCTGGTGCTCAAGGAGAGCTTCCCTGATGAGGCAGAACTTAGAGTCCTGAAAACAGCCTGTCATACACCCCAACACAGAGCCTGGCAAAAAAGAGTTACTTCCCTGGTGAGTCATCCAGTCAGGCCATGGGATTTGCTGTCTTCTCAGTCAAGGCCGTCAAGACTTTCAGTGTTGCTCCCCGGAGCCCTTGGAAGGCATAGGAAATAGGCTCTTTACTGCCTGAGCAAAGAAAGGTTAGAGGGGTCTGTGGCTGATGCCATTCTTCCCCTTTTATATAAGGTAAATTTATTCTTAAGAATGGAGGGACTTGGAAGAGGTGATATGTGAGGATAGCTATCATTTAATCCTTACAGTGTACTCTATGAGATTAGTACTGATATTCCATTTGGTAGATGAGAAAACTGAGATTTGGAAGTTTAATAAGATACACAAAGTCACCCAAGTGAGTGGTGTAACTGGGATTCAAACTGGGCGGTCTGACTCCAGAGCCATCCTATTCAAGTCTGTGCTACCACGTCTGCCAGAGTTCACTCTATCCGTGACATTCTGTGACTCTAACTGGAACTTTACAGATGAAAGTTTGGATAATCCATGGCTAAACAGAACTGACACCATGATTCAGACTCCTGGCCCCCTGCCGGCACCACAGCTTACTTCCACTGTCCTGCGGGAGAACAGCCGGCCCATGGGAGAACAGATTCAGGAACCCGAGTCTGAGCATGGCTCGGAACCTGACTTTTTGCACAAGTAAGTAGTAAAAATTTGGTTTTTGGCATAAACCTTTAGCTGTTAGAGAAAAACCTTAAAGAAAAACTTCATTTCATCAGAGCCACATTACTGATCAGTTCATGAAAAACAGAACTGTAAATAAAGGTTAAATAATTTATATTTGAAAATGTGTAAGTCTGCAAACACTTACAATATCAGTTCCTCAAAGTCCAGAGACTTGTAAATGCATGGTATCTTATGCGTTTGTATGAGATTTGCATGAGCACATGTATCTCACTAAGTACTGATTTCAGTTAAGTTACAGATTCATTGGGCAAGTCTGTTTCTTCTCAGGTACTTGCCAAGAAGACATGCAAGAGAGTCTCTAAGAGTCTCTGCTGAGATTGTTACTAGTCTGAACACCAAATAGACTTTTATAATCCATTTAATTAATAGTACTTAGCCTTAGTTAAGTTTATATTTTAAACATAAACTGTTCCTGGATCAAGTATTGTTAAGATAAATTTTTTAAATTCTGAGTATAGCCCTTCCTCTAAGAGAGGATCAAGGGCTTAACTTTTCCCACATGAGCAATTAAAATGTTTTCAAGTACCAGTGCCCTGAAAATTATAGAAGGGGCAAGGTGGTGGTGTGACTTTTGCTATAAAGAAACTTAACTTTTTGTTTTCTACCCAACTTTGAAATTATCTGTCAAAATCTCCACTCATATTCTGATGGTGCTGTGAACTACTCTGATGGATAAAAGAGAATTCTCACAACTCAACAAATTTAACAGGTTGGGAAGAGGCAGTGTGAGAAGTATTCAGATCCTAGGCTTTCATAAGGCACCCCTGCACTGAGAGCCCCCTTTCTTCAGAGCTGAAAGGATGACCATTGCCTGGAAATTCCTAGACAGTTCACCTTATGACCAGCGTTCCCACCCCACTGCCTACATGCAGGCTCCTCCTTATCTGAGCAGCCTGCCGTGCTTCTCTGACCTTTTACCACTGGCCATGGTCTCCATGCTTTTCCCTAGGATAGGTGTACAATATTAATCAAGGTGGTAGCCCCACATGACATAAAGACAGTTGCTTAGAACTGCATGTGACAGATTTTTATCTACTAAAAACCATTAAAGTTTATATCCTGTAAAATTCCCAAAAGGCATGTTAATGCAAGTGTCCATGTGCCAGGGAGTATAGAGTGTAGTGAAGATTCGGCCCAGGATGCACCTGACTCCAAATGTCCTCAGAAGGACTGAGAAAAAAATGAGTTACACCCTTCCTTGTCCACCTCTGGAGCGCTCTGAGCCACCAGGCCAGCCGCATTAGGTCCCTGAGAGGCCCGGCTATCCGACAGGAATACCTGCAAGTAGGGCAGCACCTGGGCCCAGAGGTCTGAGGGGTGTGCTCCTGTTTGCAGGTATAGGTGTTTGGGGAATGAAGCTGTTAATTTAAGCACCTGTAGGGGAGGAAAAAGTTTTCTTCGACCCTCATAGGGTCCCTGGCTGGGTCTGAAAATTAAACTGAAAGGTTCACAGGAGAAAAGGGTACAAATTTTACTGAATTTTTCCATGTACGTGGGAGCTTTCACAAGAGAATGAAGACCTGAAGAGAACAGACCAGGAAGCTTTTTTTTAGCTCTTTCATACAAATGGAGGATTTGTGCAGAATTGACAAGACAAAGGGAAGTAGTCCAACTAGGGAGGACTAGGTAGTCTTTATCTTCCTTAACTAGTTTATAGTTTGTTGGCAAATCCCTCTGGGTGCCACCTCTGGGCTAATCAGTCTGTCTCCAGTAAGGTGAGGATTTATTTCCTGCCTTGAGGCAGAAAAGGGGGAGCTTTTTCTGTGTTTACTGATTTTTTTTATTGCTTTTGGCTCAAAATAATTTTTAATCTCAAAGAGGCATATTTTGGGGTGACATATTGTGGTTTCCTTCACACCTAACAACTAGCCACAGCCAGTTTCTCTTGGAAACTTAGGCATCTCTTTGGGCAACTTCCATGCAAACAGACCCTTCACTGATGGTGTCACCCTTGGCCCTGGGATAAACCCAGCTCCCTCCCACTTAGCGTGGGACTGAGTCGCTATATGTACCGTCTGCTTCCACAGAATGAATAATAGCGCTCTCTCTTAGTCCTCAGATGCAGATTTCTTGGTTAGGCCAGCCGAAATTAGAAGACTTAAATCGGAAGGACAGAACAGGAATGAACTACATGAAAGTGAGGAGTGGAGTAAGACATGCGGTGTAAGTGTTACGTCAAGTATCACGTGAACATAAATGACTGTGCTGATCATTTTGTGGGATGACTTGGGTTTCTTTGATGTTTGGCCTTAGGAGTTAAATCCTAACTCAGGATGTGCTGTGCAGTGCAGGACAGGAATGGAGGGCATGTCTCCAGAGGCTTTCAGAGTTTAAGTTCTAGTGCCCTTACTTGCAGGCTACATGGTCTTGGGCAAACTTTAAAACCTGTGTGCCTCACGTTCCTCATCTGTAAATTTGGAGTAAAATTAGTTTCGTGGGAATTGACCCATAGCTAAATAAACATTTACTATTATTGTTATTGCATTTAAATAACATTTCTTTCTGATGAAATGACATCTTGAGTGAACCAAATGAATATTACACAAGGGTCAGTACCACAATTTGTGCAGTGTCTGCTGGTTATAACTGGAATGTGTGCTTTCACTGGTTAGAAGACCGAATGTAAAAAAGAGCCAGGACTCCAGTTAAGAAGCCTGAGCAGCTACCTGATCGTGCCTTTTCCTTCAGCCGGGGCCTAATGGAGGAAGATGCTGAGCCCATCTTTGAAGATGTGATGATGTCATCCCGGAGCCAGTTAGAAGATATGAATGAAGAATTTGAAGACACCATGGTTATTGATCTAGTAAGAAAATACAATACGTTTTTCTTCCATTAAAATATGTGAAGGTGTTGGTATAAGGTAATGCTCTCATTTCCAAAACCCTGTGGGATGAGGAGTGAGGTGAGGAGGAGGAGGCACCACCGGCCTGCAGCGGCGGCGGCTCTCGGAACACCTGTGGGCGTTTGGAGGCGCTTAGGTGTTTTTGAGCATGCTCTCAAAGCAGGCAGATTTTTGATTCCTGCATTAACAGGAACTGGTTCCTTCTTATTATCTGCTTGATAAAGAGTTCATACTACTAGATCTTTCAATACAGCATGTGCATCTGGCTTCATAACTTTAAGTTGGAGTCTGACAATATGTGCTCCAGCCATCAAGTGCAGAATATGGACCTTTTTTGTTCAGTGTGATAAGACATCTCTGAAATTAGGAAATTTGAATATGGATGGGAGATATTAAGGTAAGTAATACATGGCAGTTTTGTTAAGTTTTGTATGTCAGAAACACATATTGAAGTAATTATAGGTAAAATGACATGGAGAAAGAACAACTGGGAGATTCACGATATTGCAGCTGAGTGATGGGTATGTGGGAGTTAATCATACTAGTTCTCTCTGAATGAGTTTGCTAGGGCTGCCATAATAAATACCCCTGATGGCATGGCTAACAAATCTATTTTCTCACAGTCTGCAGACTAGAAGTCTTGAGTTCAAGGTGTCAGCAAGACTGAATTCATTCTAAGGCTTCTCTGCATGGCTTGTACACGGCCATCTTCTCCCTTTGTCTCCACATGATCTTTCCTCTGTGCCTGTCTCTTCTTGTAAGGACACAAATCATATTGGAGTAGAACCTACACATACTACCTCATTTTACCTTAGTTACCTCTTTAAAGGCTCTACTTCCAAGTAACAGTCACATTCTGAGTACTCGGGGTTAAGACTTCAACATATGAATTTGGGGGACATAATTTAGCCTATAACATTGTGCTTCATATATTTTGAATTTTCCATAATCATAATGAACAGCTTTTATAAAAAATGTGAGATCATATCATTCTAATCTATAACCTCCCTCTCCTTGCCCATCAAGTAGCCTTCCATCTACCTGCTTTGGGAATTTAGTGAAGTTTTGTCACCCAGTATTTGGTTTTATAATTATTCTATAATTCAAAAATATGTTCTATATTTATACACCCCAAAATTATATGCATTTACATGTTATATTTATTATAATTTGAAAATTTTTATATGTATTCTCCACATAAAAGCCACATTCTTTTCCTTTCAAAATTTGACCCTTATTTGCACACTTTATTGTCTTAATGTAGTTCAGGAAAAAACTAAGTGACTGGCTTCTCTTTCCAGCCCCCATCAAGAAATCGGCGAGAGAGAGCTGAGCTGAGGCCAGATTTCTTTGATTCTGCAGCTATCATAGAAGACGATTCAGTAAATGTTAAATTATTACTGCTTTGATTTTTGGTTTCTGGGTCTTGTTCATCCATGAAATTAATTGTGTTTCTCATTTTTCTAGGGATTTGGAATGCCTATGTTCTGAAGTCTGAAGAAAATTTACAAATATGGAACTCTATTATTTAGAGCTAGAGGCCTATATACTGTGATAGCTTGTTCGGGGAAAAAACACTTTTGATGTGATCTGATTTGTTTTTTAATCAAATGATTGAGGTCAATCCCTTTTTACAGTGACAGAAGAGGAGCATGTAAATTATCCAAGGGAATGTCACCTCAGAAAGACTGACCTGAAAAGTCATTGTGTCCTAATAGTGGACTTATCCCAATACAGATGTGTGTGTTTTTCTGGAGGGAGGAAGAAATTTTAAATTTTTAAAACAGCTGTCAAGATAAACACTGTTATACACCTGTTTTATGAAAACTCAGCATTGAGTAAAAAAAAAAAATATTTTTAACTTTATTTTCCTGTTGTACAATTTAAAAACCGTTTTAACATTTTGCCTTTTTATGTTTTAAAAGCTAACCATTTTTATTAAACCTCTGAGTAAGCAGCTCGTCCTAATTGCTGAAGAGTGTTTTGGAGCTCACTGGATTTGGTTGACCTTGTGGAATACAGAAATATGGAGAAGAATATCAACAAGCTAAGATGAAAATCTGACAGTGCATCTCTGCCAAAAACCACACACCCTCTGTGGATATGGATATGAATTCCCAGATTTTATATACTCTTAAATAAAAAGGTTTATTTTTATTTATAAGGGGGCATAAAATAAGAAATGTCCATGCAGCCATTTTTCCAACAGATGCTGTACACCATTCATTTTATATAGAATAGGGAAATTCAAATACAGTACATTTTCTATTGGTATTTGTTCTGTGCGTTTTTAGCAACTTCTACCAGCAAATAAAGTTCTCAGTAAAACAAAATGGTTCTGAAGTTATCAGTTTGCTATTTTTACCACTTATTTCATGCCTTGCCAAATTCAAGGTACATAGACATCCATTTTCTTAAAAAGATAATCATGAAGAACTCCTTTGCCATTCAAAAGTAATTTTAAGTGTAACATAACTATGTCTCCTTCCCATGCACTTAATACCCTTATGCGCTAATTTTGTGAATTAAGTTTACCAATTATAGAAGTATGTGCTGCATAGAAGTCTGTGCTTAGAGGGTGAAGTTCCTAAGCTTACCTTGAAATACAGCTACATTTCAGTGTTAAATGTGCATATTAAGAATAATTCTTTGGGGGAAAGAAATTAAGAATCTTCAGAACAGCCTTCAATGGTTTAGAGTTATATTCTGCTTAGACTTTTATGATTTGCTGCTTTCATTTGAAAAAGCCCACTTAGTTTCTTCCTTTTTGATTTTTAAAGTAAGCCTCAGAATTTCCAAACCAATCCATCCATAAGTGTTTCTGGGCTGATTTTTAAAGTAGCTGCAACAGAATCATGAAGCTTTTCCCTTTTTATCAAAAACAAAAAGCATTTTTTTAAAAAATTCGGTGCATCCAATGATTGTCTTTTGATGGGAAAGCAGAATGGGTTATCTAATTCATCCTTTTAGTAAACAGACACAAGACAGATTTTTCTCAACATGTATACAGTTCTAAAAAATTTGGTCACCAAAAATATTTTATCTGCTAATTTAGCAATTCCTGGGCTCGTTAGTTAGGGAGGCTGGGGTCTCACTTTCTTCCAGAAATGTGGGCTTCACCAGAAGTGAAGGGGTAGAGCCCTGCCTGCCTGTGGTTCTGGCCAGGGAGCAAGCCAGGAGGAGGAGGTACCCTGGCAAATGCAAACTGATAATTGCTTGACAGTTTGATGTGGAAAACAGATGCTGACTTAGAATTGTAGACTACCATGCAACAAAAAAAAGGCTTAATATCTACTCCAATGGGTTTCCAGTTCAGTTTGAAGTCAGTCGAATTTTTGTATTTTCAGTGTCTCCTTGATTGGTTTTGCTAGTAATTCTGTAAATTGTACATTTGCAATATGAGGTTTTTTTTTCCTTTTGTACAATTTGAAACTGATGCTTCATCTTTCCTTTAATAAACTATTCAAAATCAGGCTGTGGTAGTCATCCTATTGTTCCTTCTAGGTAAAGGTTTAAAGATGATTTTGTCTGCTGCTCTTCAGAGTTTGCACTTTCAGATAATTTGTTAAATGATGGCAAAATTACTGTATCAGTGGTTTTTTAGTTTGGTTTGGTTTTTTTGAGAAATAAGGCTGATTAATTTTCTTTCATTCCTTGGATTTCTGTGGAGAGAGAGAGTGGGTAGGGTCAAGTTGTCTGTGGTTCAAGAGAAAGTCTATTGCAGGCTGAGCTTTGGAGGCAGCATGCACACTGGTCTATAGCCTGGTTCCTTATCCTGCCTGAGACCCAGACCCTTATGGGCTTATGCATGGTTTCCCCCTAGTAGTGACCCTTTAAAGACCACCTGGATTCTATATGGCTGCAGAAAAGGTTTCTTGACATTGGTGTCAGATTTCCCTCCAAAAAGTCATGCCCTATACTTGCTGGGCCCTTCCACATTCTTTGGGCTGTGTTCATTAGATGGTCTAAGATCTAAGATGTTTAGTGCAAAAAATGCAGGGGATGCAGGAGGGTGAATCAGCAGGTGAGCTCTCCAGAAAGCCAAAAGGAGAGATGAGGAGGATGGGCCTCTGGTAGCTCATCTTGAAGGTCACAAGCTTATATTACTAAACCCGGGCTTTACCCATATGACTGCCTTGAGACAACTTGGCCAACCTCCCAGATGTAACTTGACTATCTGGCCCTGCTCTCCAAAAAAAAGCCGGTCCATCAAACAGTGTCTTTGTGGGAACAGTGTCTTCATGGAAACAAAGGATTAGTACCTACTCAGGTTTTTCAGATCAGACCAAACTCTAGTAAGGCTCCATCCCTTCCACATGCACCTTGCTCTGGAGAGGTGCTATCCACCATCACTTTTTTACAGGGCCACATCACTAAAAACAACAGCTCCTGCTTGGGACAGTGGAGATCCCAGGCTGATAGTGGTGCTAAGGGCACAAGTACCAGTAGTTCTCACTGCAAGAATAAAGCCACAGCTCTGCAGAAATCTTTTGGCACCTTAAGGACATAAAATTCTCAACACCTGTCAGACTGGTGAAATCTAGGGAAATCAGTGAGTCCATCAGGAGTATCAGCTCAGTGTGCAGGTGAGCATCTACAGGCTTCTCAGACTGGGCAGTCAACATCTAAAGCACCAGCAAGAGCATCAGTGCCCCCAGAGGCAGAGAACTGGTCTGCAAAGACCAAGACAGCCAGAAGAGAAGCTGGAAGAACCTCACCAACTCGAGCGCTGGAAGGCTCCCCTGTGGCTGTGCCCCCAGAACTCCCACAACTCAAAAAGATGACTGGCCATCATGATGTAGTGAAGCTTTCCAAATTTAGTAGCTCATGGGTCCTTTGAGACAATCCCTGAGGAGAAGACCACCACCTTTTTCACTCCAACCCTTAGGAGTTCGTCCCACCTACCTCATTAGTTAAGAGGCAGTACTCGGTTAGAAGATAGACTTGAGGCTCAACAAATCCACCTGGGTTCAAATCCCGGCCTCACCACTCACTAGCCATGTGGCTTGGGATGACAGCTAACTTACTGAGGCTGAAGCAGACCCAGTACCGCCCAGTGCCTTCTATGTCCACCATAATTTTACCCTATTGTGTGCTCAGTCTGAAGATGGACACTTCGCAGTGCTCCATTCAGTGAACCCAAGTCCTCTCTGGTTGCAAGATTCAACATTTTTTTTTCCCCATAAGGTGAGAACACCAGCTGAGAAATTCATTCCTTAACAGCAGCTGGTGAGTATATTCACTGCTACCCTTCTCAAGGCATTCTGCTGTCCACAGAGGCTGGCTGACTTAGCAGAGCTTCCAAGGTTCTGCAGCTTCATGGTTCCTTGACCACCAGCTCTATTCCAAGACTTCCCAGAAGCCTCTTGTACAAGTGCTTTATTGGGCTGATTCCTCTACCTCAGCACCAAGCCCTTCTCACCATCCAGATTTCATGACCTGTTAAACCTGTAAAACACTGGACCCTTTCCTCAAAAATAAAAAATAAATAGCACAAGCTTGTGTATACTCATTACTTTTATATGGACTATACATGATCATCCCCAAGTCATTCTAAATCCTAGGTTGGCTGACCCAAATTGAGCTGGCCAGGTTTAAGGTGTTGCACCACATGCCAACCAGCCTGTAGCTACGTCTCTAAAAGCCAAGTAGTTTGCCAGCATTCCTTTCCCAGTTTCCAGTGGCTGAAACTCTGGCCAAGACATAGTCTATGTCCCCTAGGAACTCACCACTAGTTAGGAAAATAAAAATATGTTTAAGGGGAAAAATAGGAGATGGGGAGGTACAATCAGGTGCTTAAAAATTCCTGCTGTAAAGCAGAATCAGTTTGAGCTCACAAAGTGAGATGAACTGGAGAGGCTGGGCCCTTGAGCATGAGCAGACGGGAGCTTCTCGGTGTGTTCCAAGGTGACTGGGCTCAAAAAAACATAGGTGAGCAAGGGAAGGGCAAACCGGAACCTTCTGTGTGGGCTAAAGATTTTGGAGAACAGTATACTAAACGAACTGCTAGAGCAGAGGAACAAGATCTGGGCCTGGAAATAACAGCAAGACTTCCATCTAGGAGTGGGCCACAAAGAGATGCCACTGGGGAGATTGTTGTAAAAGGACTCAGGAGCCCAACTAGAAAGGGAGACCTCCCTTTCTCCAACTAGAGAGGAAGGAAGGAAGTTCTAGAAAACAACTTCAAGGACGTAAGCCTGGCTCCCTGGAGAGGTGGGGTAGCTGGTGGACATGGGGACCGTAGATGGTAAGACTCACACGTTGGTTTAGGTCAGGTTGGGCTTGAAATGATAGAACATTCAAGCAGTGCTCACAGACCTTTGGACCTAAGGGTGTGTAACACGGGAAGGTCACCAATGGTGGAAGGAGCAGGGCTCTCCTATAGAGGAAGAAGTGCACCCCGACAGGCACCCCAAACAGCACTCTGTGTTCACCTTTTGGCTGAAAGCACTTAGGATCACCAGTCTGATAACTTAATGCTGGACATGCTCAGCAAAATAAAGTCAAGGATGGGGGGAAAACTATAGTGGTCTATGAACATAAAGGACTAACTTCCAAACTGATACTTAACATAGGTAACATAACCTCCCAGTTATAGTTACATAACCATCCACCAGTAATAGTTACATCACCATCCAAATAACCATGTACCTTCAGCTTAAAGACTATAAGAAAGACTTGAATTTTACAGAAGGTTTACTGTTGATAAAACTAGTGGTTCTGAAACATAGTTATTCTGGGTTGAGCAAATGAGTAATAAAGATAACAAGCCAGTTTTATCACTAGGAGGAGACAAGATAATATGGAACGGGAGAGGCAAAGAAGCCATATGCTGGATTGGAATTAAAAGTTTCAGGCTCCCCACATACATACATATATATATATATATATACTACGTGTTAATATAAATATTTTCCTAGTCTGACAATACCTAAGATATGATACACCCACAGCATCACTGTGAACATCTAGTGCCAATTTTAGCTTCTAAATGACATCTGAAGAAACCAGGGCTTTGGAGAAATCACTGATTCAGGGCTTGGCAAAGAAAATAGAAGATCAGCCTGGCACACTATCCTGTGTCAAAATATAAGGAAGTGCATCAAAAGTTACTGGGACATAACAAAAGGATCAGGGAACCAGCTTAAAAGAACCCCAGTTGACCAAATTAGGAAGTTTTGAAAACAAAATGAATAACATATTTTAAAAGAATCCATGAGTCTTTTTTCTTGATTGATAAAAATATATTCATTCACCAAAACATTTACAGAACAGCTATGTACCAGGCACAGATTTCAACTATGAATAATGTATGGTCCCAATTTCAAGAACTTTTAGGGTAGAGTAGGGATGGGACAGGGAGATAAACGATAATGTGTGTTTGAAAATCTGATAGTGTTAGCATAGTAATAAATTTTCAGGGAAAATGTTCTTTAAAAAATCCATTAAACTGATAATACAAAATTAAAACAGGAGAGGAGAAACATTTTCCAGGAGAGTACCAACTAACAAATGCAGACAATAGGGTTAGAAATACAACACTTCATAGTCAAAATAGCTAATTGGGGCAAAAATCAATGGAAACTAAAAGTACTAGGTGACAAAGTTTGTTGACAGGCCTAAAGAGTATTCCCAAATTAGTTATTAATTCCAAAGAGAAAATGTTAAACTTTGAGCCACCATCTTAATCAAGTGATCAGACTTTTATCAATAAAGGAAAAACTAACATTATGTGGTTCCTATTGAGATACACAGAACGAGCACTCTTGTGCATTACTCTTACCTGGATTTAAACATCAGGAAACAATTAGACAAACCCAAATTGAGGGCATTCTATAAAATAACTGGCAATCATTTTCAAAAATGTCATTGTACTGAAAGACTGTAAGACAGTGGCCCTTGTTTCCTAGGAAATAAACATTGACATTTTCAGGGACAGTCACAATTCTGCAACTCAAATGAGTCAACAAAAATAATTTATTATTTATAGGTTTGAAAATTCCAAAATAAGTGTTTTAAATGTGCTAACACATTTCTTGAAAGAATATAGGGTATTATGCCCTTACTGAGCATCTATTCTGCCAGACCACACACACACACAATTGAAAATATTCAATACCTAAGAGTTACTGGAGGAATGAAAAGATGGGGTATTTTTTTTAATATTATTTAAAAGTAAGGAAACAAGCCTAGGTAGATAAGTACTTTGCCCTAAAGACTAATTATGTCACCTTATGAAAAAATTCTTGGGAGATTCAGGAGGTAATGCATAGAGGTGTCAAGGGTCAGCTCTATCTAGGTGACATTACTGTTTTCTTTCTAGTTTTCTGGGTTATTCAGATTTTTACAATAAAAAAACATGTATGCTCAAAAAAATTAGTTAAGGTTTTTAATAAAGCAAATAATCTTACAGTAAGGCACAAATGAACTCTTCCTAAAATTTGATAAACTTTAACCACTCCAAGTTATTACT